AAGACACACACACACATATGTAGATTTGCAATGCACACTTAAACACCTTAACAGTAGCTGTTGTTGGATTTGATAGCTTTTAGATATTTTTATATCTTTTGACAAACCTTGACATTTCTCTGATGATGTGAAATGATGCATTTTCTACAAGGTGTGTGCGTGTCTTAATTCAAGGGTTTGAACTATATATACAGGCCCGCATTAATTCTAAAGTGTTTACTATATTTTATATATAATCTCACAATTGCTAAGGATAATCATACACTAATTACTTCATGTTATATATAATCTCACAAGTGCTAAGGATAATCATACACGTTCACCCATCCATCCATCCATCCATTATCTTTACCCGTTTATTCCATTTTGGGTCACGGGGGTCGCTGGTGCCCATGTCCAGCAGTCACTGTGCGAGGGGCGGGGTACACCCTGGACGGGTCGCAAGTCCATCACAGGGCCACATAGAGACAAACGACACAAACAACCATTCACTCTCTCACTCACACCTAGGGAAAATTTAGAGTTACCAATCAGCCTAACATGCATGTTTTTGGTCTGTGGGAGGAAACCGGAGCACCCGGAGAAAACCCACGCATGCACGGAGAGAACATGCAAACTCCACCCAGAAAGGCCCCTAGACCGGGGTTTGAACCAGGGACCTTCTCGCTGAGAGACAGCAGCTCTACCAGTTGCGCCACCGTGCTGCCCATACACGTTCACATTTGATATAATTCTGAGGGAAACAGAGACAGGTAAGACACTTGTTTGTGCAGCAGGAAACGATCCTTCTTTGTTCTCTGAGCAGAACAGCTGAGAGTTGAGGGCCCAGCAATGTGACACACTGCTCACACATTGATTAACATAAATAACGCTAAATCACAACATTCATATACTTTATACATAACACAGGTTGAGTAATTAGTCTTTATGCTCTCACATTAATAATAGTTCAGACACACAGGAATCGTGTTTTAAAGCTTTATACAGACGAGAGCCAAACTACAACCTGTAGAGTAAGTGTTCCTGTGTTCCAAAACAAAGCTCGTAAATTAACCCTTATCAGTAGAAGAATGAGCAGAAGGCTGTCTGCGGCCTTCGGAGTAACCATGGAGATAGGATCTGCTCCTGAGTGGCTGAACATGGTGTCACTCGGACCATCAAGAGGTTTTGACACCCAATCACAAGTCTGTCCGAACCCGAAAGGGCGGGACATGAGAAACCTATAAATCTCGCTCATACACAGAGTTTGGTTGAACAAACATCAGGCTGATTGACCAGGCAAGGTTCGCTCTGACTTTGTTCCTCAGACTGCATTCTGATCACATGTAATATCTGCATACTTTAACTTTGTCTCAATTAAATCTTTAATACTAAGGTGAAGTGCTCCTGAAATTCTGTGCTCGGGTCATTTGAACACCCCAAACTCTTCACTGTCTACTCTGCTACCACTTCCTCTGTTGGAAGAAGTTTCTTGTTTTGTTGAAAGGGCCCAGCTATCACAGCATCAAAAGAGCAAGGAACATCAAAAAAGTAAGTTTCTAAAATTACAGCAAATATCTGTTTTCTCATCACAAACCATCAGTCAAGATCAGGAGTTTGTTGCCAACAGAAATTTTCAGGAGCAGTGGGTTAGAAATTTGTCTAACAGGACATTGACACAACCTGAGAAAGATGTGTTGGCAAAATGACTAAATTTTGCCATTTCCCCACAAGAAATACCTGTTGTGTAACTAATCACGGCCACTGAATCCACGATTAGGAACAACAACTTGACGGAAACAGAGGCAGAACAACTCAAAATAAAAATATCAGCAACCCTCTCCAGTGCCAAACCACCTCCTTTTATTCTCACACCACAGGAAAGGAAAGCTGTAACATCACTCAGCCAGTACCAAAACATCACCATTTTACCAGCTGATAAAGGAAGATGCACAATAGTCCTCAACACTTCTGATTACCAGGAAAAAATAACTACACTACTGAGCGACAGCAACACCTATGAGACTCTGAAGAGGGACCCAACTAGCACCTATAAAAAGAAAGTCACAGATTACCTACAAAAACTTGATAAGGAGAAAACAATCAATCGATCGTTGTATTATAGATTGTACCCAGGAGAAGCCACTCCCTGTCTTTATGGACTTCCTAAAATCTACAAAGAAGGAACACCATTCAGACCCATCGTCATTAGCATGAACTCAGTGACATACAATATTGCTAAACATCTGGCTGATATTTTAGGTCTTCTTGTTGGAAATACACCTCATCACATAAAGAACTCCATTGATTTTGCTAACAAAGTTCAACATCTGAAACTAACCCCAGGAGAAACCCTTATATTGTATGATGTGACTTCTCTTTTCACTTGCATACCCATCTCTGAAGCAGTAGAAACAGCCAGAAAACAACTTCTACAAGACAAGGACTTAATCAAGAGGACCAACTTCACCCCGGACCAGATCTGCACTCGGTTGGATCTCTGCCTCTCCACCACTTATTTCAAGTTCAATGACAGTTTTTACAAACAGAAGCACGGCTGTGCCATGGGATCTCCAGTGTCACCCATTGTTGCCAATCTCTACATGGAGGAAGTGGAACAGAGAGCCCTCAACTCCTTTGAGGGAACAACACCATGACATTGGTTCTGATATGTGGATGACACCTGGGTCAAAATCCAAACCAAGGAAATAGAGGCGTTCACCAGACACATTATCTCGGTCGATAATAACATCAAGTTCACCAGAGAGGATGCAAACGATAGCAAGCTGCCTTTTTTGGACTGTTTGGTTCACATGGAAAGAGAGGACAGCCTGAACATTGAAGTTTACAGAAAACCAACCCACACAGACCAGTATCTTCTGTTTGACTCTCACCATCCACTGGAACACAAACTCTCTGTCATCAGACCTTTACAGCATCGGGCCGAACGCATCCCCACAAAGACAGAAGGGAAGGAAAAGGAACAGAAACACATCCAAGATATTCTTCAAATATGTGGATATCCTAACTGGGCTTTTGTCAAGTCAGCGAGGATATCTACAAAACACACTAATAAACAGAAAAAGGACAACAACAGATGGAAAAACATTGTCATCCCTCATGTTGCTGGAGTATCAGAGAAATTCAGAAGGATTTTCAACAAACACAACATCCCAGTACATTTCAAACCCAGCAGAACTCTCTGACAGAGACTGGTCCACCCTAAGGATAAAACACCCACAGTGGTGTAGTGTATGCGGTCCAGTGCAGCGAGGACTGTCCAGACCTATACATTGGAGAAACTCAACAGCCTCTTCACAGACGCATGGCTCAACACAGGAGATCCAGTGCTTCAGGACAAGATTCAGCTGTTCACCTCCACCTCACAGACAATGGACATTCTTGAGGAACAAAATGTGCATATTTTGGACCGAGAACACAGATGGTTTGAGAGGGGGGTGAAGGAAGCAATTTATGTAAAAAGAGAAAAGCCGTCTCTTAACAGAGGAGGGGGCCTCAGATTTTCACTTTCAAAAACCTATAATACAACTTTAAAACAGATTTCCAGCCGGTTTTCACACCTGATGGGAACAGAGGGGCCTCGTCTGTGAATTATAGCAACAAAGACTTTTTGGGGGCCCCTACTGTTAAGGTGTTTAGGTGTGAATTGCCAATCAACATATGTGTGTGTGTGTGTCTTATGTCACTCAGCCTTATAACCTGAATCTCTCACTCACTGCTATCTGAATTGAGAAAGCTCCTCGGATGAGGAGCGAAACGTCTTCTGTTACAAATAAAGTCCAGTTGTTTTTGTATTGAACGCCTTTTGGATACAGTAGTGCCAAGTGAAAACAAAAGTCATATCAGGGCACTGTACAAAAACATTCACATATATTATAAAAGCCAATTAACAAAAGTTCTCTATCTTAGGAAGCCCGCAGATTGTGTTGAATCTTCACTTCATCCCAGTCTCCCATCCTAAGCAAGCACAAAGGAGACAGTGGAAAGGAAAAACTCTGTTTAAACAGGAATGAATCCCCAGCAGTGTTTGTCCAACTGTGTTTGATCTCTCCTGATAAATGAATGTCTAAATATCTAAATTAGCTGCTTGTGCTTTAGTGGCATAAAGTTGTGCTTCCATGTACTGGTAAAAGGTAATTTGGTGATATATTGTAACAACTTCTTGAGTTGTGACATTGCTTCTCCCTCCTGTATGACACTTCTAATGCAATGTTTCCAGCTTCCACATATGTTTTTGTGTTTCTGATCACACCACCTAAATCGATATGTATTAGACTTCACAGAGATACCAGATGAACTAAAGCTAAATCTCTGATAGCTTTTTCTTGTACATCTAAAAAAGTTAAATCTGGTCCTCTGGACGTTCAAAAAAATCAAAACAAAGCAAAACAACAAAAAAATGTAGAAACGTTTCGTCTCTCATCCGAGAGGCTCCAGAGGACCATATTTAACTTTTTTAGATTTTTCTACCTGGATTATTGAGCATGCATCAGGAAATTTTTCTTGCACAGTTGCGCTGTAAAATCTTGTAGGAACCAGTGCTTAAAAGCACTGTTAGTAGAGAAAATGAATAGAGGTCTTACAAGAGAATTTCCAAGTCCGACTATTTCCTAAATGACTTTTTTATGGTGGCACCGAATACTCAAAAAAAGGTTCACATCTATTTGCGGTATTCAAGTTTGGTTTTGCGCTGTAGTGTTTTGGGTCTTTGGTCCTAGTTTTCATTTACTCTTATGTATAAATGTATTTCTAGATTAGCTTTATTAGTATTTTACATTGTGAGAATGAAACGTCCTCAATGTGCAATGTTGCCAAATGTCAGAATGACTGCAGAGCAGCTGATGTAGATATGAACACTTTTTAGACAAAGTGTGGCTCTACGCCAAGCATTGATAAAAGTGAACACACAGAGGAAACATCAAATTTAGGCATATTTCTACAAACAACTAAAGTGAGGAAAAGAGAGAACAGAAGATGTGAGGAGGGTAATGGGGAATCACCTCTTTCCTGCTAAACAGGAGCAGGCTGGCTTTGTTTTTGTCCTCGGTATCCCACACAGTTCTGGCAGCATCTTCAAGAAACTTATTAGTGTCTGACAGTCTGGAGACAAAGTTAGACATGACTTCTCTGATGGACGGAAGGCGGCCCTCTGTAACCGTCAGTTTTTTCTCCATCTGACGAATGCGCCTCAGCACTAGAAACACAAGCAGGAAGAGTCAACAGCAATCATTGTCAGACTGGTTTCACAAAAACTGGTTAGTGTTTAGATGCCTCAAGTAGGTGCAAGTTTCCATCTTCATCAGAAACAAGTGGTACACCCATGTCCCTAGTCACTGAGTGATTTGAAAAGTGAGTTTCAGTAGTTTTTGAGATGAGTGTTTTTATGGACTGACATTGAACAGGGAATGTAAGAAAACCTTAATCTTTTTGGTGCATGATATTCAAGTAGATAGGAGTACAATGTTTGGAAGAAAAAGTTTTTTGTTTTTTTTTGTTTGTCTGAAGCAGCACAGGGTGACAGATCCTGGAGAGTGGAGGGAGCATTTTTATCCAAAACCAGACTCAGTGGCAGAGCCAGGGGATGGCCAGTAGATAAACCTTCGGCCACCTCACCATACACTCCGATCATTTAAGAAAACTATACTTTTAAGCAATAAAAACAAAAAGATTGTTTCATTAAATGATCAGGATATCCAGTTTACATGATTATTTGGTGGTGACCATCTTTAAATTGACATGGCAACCCAATATTTGAAGGGAAACTTTCTTACTCCTTATTGCAGCCACACACCAAAAAGGAAGTCAGTACCTCAATTATTTTTCAAATTATGATCACAACACAAATGGGCGGAGGGTATTTCCAATTTCCCCTCTTCACTTCACAACAGGGGACAATAAACCCCCAGTATCAATTCTGTTTTATTTCAGCTGACAGGTTTGATATATGATCAAATAACAAAAACTGTAGAATTATCTCATGCCAGAGCCATGTTCATTGTAGGGCCAATTAGCAATTGCTTGTGTTAGCATCCATCCATCCATCCATCCATCCATTCATCCATCCATTCATTCATTCATCCATCCATTATCTTTTATCCGCTTCTTCCTTTTAGAGTCGCAGGGGTCACTGGTGTCCATATCCAGCAGTCGCTGAGAGAGGCAAGGGACACCTGGACAGGTCTCCATTCCATCATAGAGAAAAACAAGACACACAACCATTCACTCTCTCTCTTACCTAGAGACAATTTAGTTACCAATCAGTCTAACATGAATGTTTTTGGTCTGTGGGAGAAAAATGGAGTACCTGGAGAAAATCCACTCATGCATGGAGAGAACATGCAAACTCCACCCAGAAAGGTCTCCAGTCAGAACCGGCGACCTTCTTGCTGAGAGGCAACAACACTACTAACTGCACCAACCGTGCCACCTGCGATATCTAAAAAAATGACCTATGTAGATTACGTTACTGTGTACTGCAGCCAATTAAAATTTACATTGTAATCAAATGGGCATGTCAGCTAAACCTCTAAATACAGTATTACAAACCTGCCAGTATGTCTGCTGCTTTGCAGAACCTTCAGGATGTTATAACCAAATGTTTTATTTTCTATTATCTTTTTCCACACAGAAGTAAACCAAATGCTAAATATATGCTAAGTATTGCAATTTGTCTAGTATAAAATTTCCTCTTTTTTTTGTGCTGCTTCGAGCAAATGCATGAAAGATTTGGCAATCGTTGACACTGGATGTCCGTCCTGACACAACCTGGGCTCAAACCTGCAGCCTCAAGATTACAAGATGGTGGCACTGACCACCAAGCTACTGCAACCCTAAAGTTTTAGTGTAAACTGTCACGATGCACACTTTAATCTTTGCTAAAACACTCTTTTCACTGCTTGGTTTCTAGTTTTCTCTATGTTCGTTTGGTTTCTGTGAGCTCTGCTTCCTATCTGCAGCTTTCTGTCTGTCACACCTCCTCTCACTGCAGTTCGTTAGTGTTCATGGGAAACACCTGTGCTCTGGTGCTTAAAAGCTTTTCTCCCTCACAGTCTGATGCCAGGGCCAGAGGAGCGGAGCGGACGTTGTCGGTGGAAGGAGAAGCTGACTTGGGAGCTGGATAATCTTTTCAAGGGTGGTAGGAGCTGAAATTTGGTCGGGTTGCATAAACTGAGCTCTGACTGTAACATCATGGCCTCCTCTTCAGGAGGAAATAGTGAGAATGAGATGGAATGGATGTTAGCAAAATCATCAAAAATGAAAAAACCACAAAGAAAAAGACGAGAGAGAGAGAGAAGCTTGTCAGAAGAAAGTGAGTCACGAATAGACATAAATAAAAAGTCAAAAATCAGTACAAGTCCGCGAAATCAAACGCAGGTGGAACTAATTAGGGAAGAGGAATGGAAAGTGTAGTGAACTAAGCCTCAGGTTAAAACCTGACCCTGAAGACCTTCATGGGACAGAAACTGTTATTTCATTGATTTGAGTCCAGAAATACAAATTAAGCTCATCCAGAGACTTTCTAAGTGTGTCCTGCACTAATCAATTGAAAGAACACTCTCTTTTTATATTATCATTAATTTTTACAAATGTCTTGATAATCAAAAGTGTTTAGTTCAAACCATTTTAAATGTTGAAGTGAACTACTCATTTTAAATCAACTGTGAAACAGTATTAATGATTTTTTAATCCTCATTCAAAGTAGAAATCAAGTTAGATGTCTGTTACAAAGTAATTATGCATTTTTTGATCTTCTGTCTGAAATGAGAAGGAGTGATGTCGGTCAAAAGTCGGAGACAGTCGCAAACAAGTTTGTTGGAACGAACTGTCATGTTTTTAAACCTATCAGACAGAAATAAGAAACTGGTGGCACCTGTTTCCTCCCACTTCGCCAAAACATTTCTCTGTCTGCTCCAAAACATTTCTCTGTCTGTTCTTAAAACATCTCACTGTTTTTCTGACTTGTAGTAACCTCTTACGTCACTAAAACCACACCCCTGTTGGTTCTTTCAACCAATCAGGACTTCTCAAATGAACCGGAAATAGAACTCTTTAAATGTCGACACTTCCTAGTTCCAGTCAGTTCTGAGAGCAGAACCGAACAGAAAAAGTTCTGAGACATGAACCGGAGTTCTGGGAGAGAACAGAAGTTCTGAGTTCCTCTGAGTCTTCTCAGAGTCCCGTTAAGTTCTTCTGATACTGATGAAGTGCGGCTGGAGTTCCTGTAGGAGCCACGATGCCTCGCTGTGACTCCACCCGGTGAAAACTTTATACTTCTGAGGAGGTTTGTTCTTTGGAACTAGTTCTCACGACTTCTGCCGAGTCGCAGCCGCCCTGAGGAGACGCTGAAAGGTAGCGTACCAGGGACCTCTTGACCGCCGCGGATTCATCCTCCGCCAAAGGTAAAGAGTCGTCATGAGCTTCACTACCAGCGTACTGCAGGCGAACTGCGCTTCAAAGGAGCGTGTTGTTCTGGTCTACAGACATACATCCTCATCCATCTTTTTCCTCTCCATTTAAACTCCTTCATTTCCCATCTTTAAAACTCTTCTATCTTGCCAGTAATTAATCCAGATATTTTCAGAAATGTCTGTTGTATTTTAGTTGCAAGTGAAAAATCATGGCCGTATGATTTCTCATTGTAAAGCTCATTAATTAAGCTGTGTTATTGCGTTCAATCAGAATAATCAAGTGTACAATGTTGATGTTAAATTTTGATTCTGTTAATAAATGACCACACTCATTTTGATGGGTCAAAGAAAATTAACGTCTCATGTCACTGGTTTTTAGACCATCTCCCACACAGTATCTCTGTCACATATCTGTCAAGTAGCTCGAAAAAGAGAGAACCCGTCATTAAATATTGATTGTAGTGGAGCTCCTACGCTAACTAACCCTACATCACTACAAAAGTAATGGTGGAGTTTAATCAAGAGGGAAGATACTTTCATTCAATAAAATTAACAAAGGTAATAGAGGAGGAAATTGGGAAAATAAAATTAGCCAGACTCATGAACAACAAAATAATTCTTATACATGCAATCAACAAACAACAGCAGGACGAAATCTTAAAAATGACTACTCTAGTGGGAGAAAGAGTTAAAATATTTATTCCAGGTTCTTTAAATATGTTAAGAGGAGTAATTTCAGGAGTTCCAATAGAAATGACACCCGAGGAAATAAAACAAGAAATCAGAGGAGGCAAAGTGACAGAAGCAAAAAGGATTACAAGTAAAAAAGATGGAATAATCAAAGAAACAATGTCTATTATCATAAAGTTTGAGAATAAAATGCCAGAATGTGTGCAGATGGGATATGTAAATTATAAAGTAAGAGAATGCATACCAAACCCCATCAGATGTTTCATATGTCAAAGAATGGGGCACATAGCAAAGGAGTGTAAAGGGAAAGTGAGATGTGCAAGATGTGGAGGTCCACATGAGTATGGGAAGTGTGAGAAAGACTTGAAGGTAAAATGCTGCAACTGTGGAGGAGAACACAGTGCAGCATATGGAGGGTGTATAGTTCAGAGGGAAGCCAGAGAAGCCCAAAGAATTAAAATTACAGAGGGAGTTTCATATGCTGAAGCACTGAAGAGGGTGAAGAAAGTAAATACAAAAGAAGTGAGGAATGAAGAAACTATCGAGAAACAGGTGCAAAGTGTAAATGATATTCAGAGGAACCAGAGGCAATCACTGATACCACCAGCAGCAGAACATGCCACATGCAATCACAAATGTAAACTCAATGAAAAATCGATGATAGTGGAAAAGGACAAGTTTGTGGCATTCATATGTCATATTGTTAATGTAACAATACAAATGACAAAGAAAAGTGATCAAATAAAAACAATAGTGGAAGCAGCAGGAAAGTTTCTGGATATGAAAGAAATCCAAGCAGATCAGATCCACACACTACTAAAATCAGTTGAACCAACAGGAAAAGGTCAAGGAAAAGATTAGGAATGGTTTTTCATATTCTACAATGGAATGCTGGGAGTTTGATAGCTAATGGACAAGAACTTAAAAAATACATCTACCAGTTAGAAATAATACCAGATATAATCTGTGTACAGGAAACGTGGTTAAAACCCCATTTAGACTTTAAAATTCATGGATACAGTACAATAAGGAAAGACAGAAGTACTGGAAGTAGTGGCGGAGGGTGTGCAACATTTATTAAGGATGGAATAGCATATAAAGAAATTTACAACTCAACAGAATATGAAAGTGTTAGCATTGAAATTTACAGTCCACAGTAGATGCTCTAGTAAGAGTATGTAATGATATAGAAAAAACACTAAAAATGAAAGAAATGATGATTATAGTATTCTTTGACATAGAAAAAGCGTATGATTCTATGTGGAGGCTGCTAATAAAACTAGAACAAATGGGAATAGATGGGAGGATGTATAACTGGATTGCCAGCTTCTTTCAGGATAGGACAATTAAAGTAAAAGTTGGGGCTGAATTATCTAGACACTTCAAAGTGGAAAACGGCACCCCTCAAGGCAGTGTAATTAGTCCAGTTTTATTCAACGTTATGATTAACGACATATTTGCAAAGCTTGACAAAGGCATCAAATCAGCTTTATATGCAGATGATGGAGCAATATGGATGAGGGGGGGAAATGTGCCACATGTCATTAAAAACATAAGAAAAGCAATTAATCAAATAGAGAGCTGGTCATATGAATGGGGGTTCAAACTGTCTGTAAGCAAAACCAGCTACATGATGATTACAAACAAGAAGAAGATAAATATTGGAAATCTTTTATTATATAGACAACCTTTAAAAATGGTTAATGAATTTAAATATCTAGGTATATGGTTAGATAGTTCATACACATGGCAAACACACTTAAAACAGGTGGAAACAAAGTGTAAGAAAGTTATAAATCTAATGAAAGCAGTGGCAGGAAACAACTGGGGAGCAGACAAACAGTCACTTTTAAATATCTACAGAGCACTCATGAGATCAACTTTTGACTATGGATGTATAGTGTATGGAGCAGCAGCAAATTCAACACTACAAAAACTAGACAGACTTCAATCCAGAGTGTTACGGGTGTGCACAGGAGCAATAAAGACAACCCACATTAATGCTCTTCTTATAGAAACTGGTGAGACTCTGTTAGAAATGAGAAGAACAAAACTTTCATTAACTTACTGGGTGAAACTCAAAGGAAGTAAAGAAGGAAATCCTGCAGCAACAACAATCCAGAACTGCTGGGAATATGACAAATATCAAAGAAATGGTTTTGGTTGGAAAATAAACAAATTAGCTGGATTATATGGAATAGAAAATAAAGATTTCGCACAGATTAATCCAAATAGTGTTATTTCTCCATGGTTAATTCCAGAAAGTAAAGTAGACATGAAAATTCTTGAAATGAAAAGATAATGGAACAAAAATGAAATGGGGGTGAAAACCAGCAAATACATTAGAGAAACATATTTTAATTACCTGGAAATATATACAGATGGCTCAAAAAACACAAAGGGGTGGGTAGGAATAGGGGTTTATATTCCAGAGTTTGAAGTTTGTACATATAAAAGAATTTCTGATCATCTTTCAGTTTTTACAGCAGAAATGGTGGCAGTCATATTTAGTTTACAGTGGATAGAGGAAGTTAGACCGGACAGGGTGGTGATATGTACAGATTCAAAGGCTGTCATAGAAAGCATACAGTCTAAAGGAAACAACAGGAAAGATCTACATCTAGAAATACAGCTCGCATTGTTCAGGTTACACAGGGGAGGCATAGATGTTCATTTTTGTTGGGTGCCAGCACATGAGGGGGTGGAAGGAAATGAAAGAGCAGATAAACTTGCTAAAAAAGCATTAAATGGTGAAATAATAGTAAATATTCCATTAGGGAAAGGAGAGGGTAAATCATTAATTAAAGAAAAAGAAATAGAGAAATGGCAGAAAACGTGGAATGAAGACAAGAAAGGAGGAAGATTATATAAAATTCAAAAAGCAGTTAAGATAAGTAATTATAAAGAAAGAAGTAGAAGAGAAGAGGTGATAATAATGAGAATGAGGGTTGGACATACACTTCTAAATGATACAATGTATATGATGGGGAAAAGGAATAACAGTCGATGTGAGGAATGTGGGGAAATAGAAAGTGTGGAACATGTGCTGATGGAGTGCATTAAATATACAGAAGAAAGGGAGAGATTGAAAGAAAAAGTCATAGAGGCAGGGAGAGTATGGAGTATAGGAGGAATATTAGGAAGAGAAGGGGAGAAGGCTAAAATAAGTAATGTTAGAAAAGAGTTGTTTATATATTTGCATAACATAAATATTAAAAATAGAATTTAGGGAAAGGAGACCATGAGTTACACACTCTTGCTCAGTAGGTGGCGGTATGCACCTGAACGTTGTTTGCGATCCGCCAATTAAACTAAAAGAAGAAGAAGAAGAAGAAGAAGAAGTCTGGTGCCAGAATATCGAAAGCCTTTGGTGAGTAGTCTTCCAGTGTTTCGCTCTTGTATCCTGATCTTGTTCACAGTCTCCTGCCTGCCCCTCAGCCTCTGATTTTTGTCTTGCCCTTTTGTACCTCTGCTCATCTGCCTTTTTGCTGCTATTTCCTGCTTGTTTTTGGACTCCGAGTTTTGCCTTGCTCTTTGGTACTGTTGCCTTTTCAGATCCTGTTGCTGACCTTGTTTCTGCCCACGACTCTGCCTCTGGATCGCCCACCCAAGACCACGGACGTACACCGCCCCTCTGTGACGTTTCCACGCTGTTCGGCGCTCTGCCTCCGGCCCAGCGAGCCTTACAAGACCCAGCTATGGCTCCTTGTCTACCAACACCAGCCGAGAATGGCAGCTCTTTACTTATTATTAAAACCTTTTTAAACCACTCTGGATTCTTGTCCACATTATAATTTCGTACAACATCTGTAAAACTGACTGGATTGTAACCTATTTTTATTTTCTAACATTAGTTAGCTCTTGCGGCCTTCTTGAATTTGGTTTGCTCCCAAAAATAATCAGGTGTACAAACGCATCCAAAGACTATTTACTGCAGTGCTTCTCAATTATTTTCTGTTATGCCCCCCAGGTAGAAGTAAACATTTCGCGCCCCCTGAACTCTCCACCGCGACTGTAAATAATGTCTATAACACTGTTAAGTATACCTCTGCCTAACATTGTGTCCTGATTAACATTACAGAAAAAAAAAATAGATCAACTTACAACAAAGAATAACTTTATTAACATTATTCTTTTGGTTTGTAACAAACGACTTAAAGTGCATCAATTTGCCTGAAAAAAGAAATCCTTTTTTAAACTGTAAACATTTTTGACCATTTGATGATAAAAAATAAAATGAAATATAATAAATTCAAATTGATCAGCAACATTTTAACTCAGGAGTGTTATGTGAAACACTTTTGACCTACAAAACAAAAATGAATAAAACAATTTGTGCTAAATATATATATATATATAGATATAATCAAAATGAAGTCTATCAATGAGCACACTCATCGATTAAAAAAAATAAATAAAAAATTGTCAACATGAAAGAGTGAGCAGGTAACCATCTTGCTTTGAGTTTACTCTTTGTCGCCTGCATGCTGTGAGTGACGTTCAGTCCAGAGCGCATAGACATAAAAACAGCCGCGGAGGATGGAGGAGGTGACGGACGGAGTTTATCAAGTCAGCAGCAGAGGGGAGAGACACGGTTCATGCATGGCTCCCAAACTGACAAGGCAGCCATATTTGTCCATAACTTTATTAGGAACGCAAGCTACAAAATGAGAATGGTGGAGAAAAAAAAAAAAAAAAAAAACCCCCCCCGGGAAAAAAGGCCCTTTTTTTGGGGGCCCCCCCCCCCCCCCCCCCCCGCCATTGCCCCGGGCCCCCCCAGGGGGCCGCCCCCCACTATTTGAGAAGGACTGATTTACTACAAGTTTTGTTAAAATTTGCCTGGTGGTTGATGAAATATTTTGCTAACAGAAAAAAACGGGTTGATGCCATCTGTTACACATACATTTTGAACCCAGGTCTTGTGCGCTCTGAGTATGTGTTGAGAATAACTCAGCTTTTATCACGAGACATTATATGTTCAAGTCTGTATAATTGACTGAGTTGGAGGCAGTTTTTTGTTTTCTATAGCCAGTTGACTGTGGTGGCCATCTTGAATGTGGATATCTCAAAAAGTTACCTGAATTCAGTTGTGCAATTATCCCTTTTGCCTTTGGTGGTGGACGATAATTAAGGTTTAAATTAAGCTAAAATCTATAAATCCCCCAAAATTTGATGTACAAGTGCTCTGGAATACATCTTAGTTTAGTACGTTAAACGCAGCTATTTATCTGTGGTTAAATAGTGCTGGAGTTTGAAATTAATGTCTTTATCTCCTCACAGTCATGAGCCTCGGTTGATTCGTCCATGGCGATAGGTTCTTGTGGTGACAGGTCCAGCCTCCTCATCCAAGTGACCATTTCCTGGGCTTCTTCAGTTCTTTGTCTGACCAGCTCTGGATTCACCTCTTGTTGAACACTGTACAGTTCCCAGTCATTGATAATATCTGTGCACACAAATATATTATCACACACACACATAAATATATTACATATTAATGTTTAAAATTACTAAAAATTATGCAGAAGTAGTTACAGTCCAAGAGTCACAATAGTGTGAGCAATGACTCAGCATTCACACTATTACTCATTACCCAAAAAAGTTCAATCTGGTCCTCCGGACATTCAAAAGAAGGAAAAAAAAACCAAAGCAAAAAAATGTAGAAACGTTTCGTCTCTCATCCGAGAGACTTCTTCAGTCTGAGGTGCTGTATTCAGCTCAGTCTCTTAAATAGCACCTTCTCAGAGTGGATCAACCAGTTTGCTGCTGAAAACCAAAACCAGCTGCTCAACTGGTCAAGAAGGACCATCAGACTAACAATGGATCATTAGCACACTGATGGCTGTTTACTATTCACAGGGGGTTGAGTGATACTAGCAATAACAGCATTGTAAGAGGGGGACAGTTGAACCCGGAGGCCTCCACCCCTGTTTAATGATGGACGATTTCTTTTCACAAAGATTCACAAACATAACATCCCAGTGGCTTTTAAACCGCAAAATATAGTACGGCAAAGACTGGTTCATCCCAAAGATCCAGTCCCCCGGCACAAACAGAGTAATATTGTGTATGCTGTTCAGTGTCAGGAGGGCTGTGATCAGTCTTACATCGGGGAAACAAAACAGCCACTGGCCTAAAGGATGGCCCAGCACAGAAGATCAACATCATCAGGCCAGGATTCTGTGGTCTACATTTATCTCCAGGCCAGCGGTCACTCTTTCAGGGATGAAGATGTTCACATCCTGGACAGAGAGGAACAATGGTTTGAGAGAGGAGTAAAGGAGGCCATCTTTGTGAAAAGAAATCGTCCATCATTAAACAGGGGTGGAGACCTCCGAGTTCAACTGTCCCCCTCTTACAAGGCTGTTATTGCTAGTATCACTCAACCCCCTGTGAATAGTAAACAGCCATCAGTGTGCTAATGATCCATTGTTAGGCCGATGGTCCTTCTTGACCAGGTGAGCAGCTGGTTTTGGTTGTCAGCAGCAAACTGGTTGATCCACTCTGAGAAGGTGCTATTTAAGAGACTGAGCTGAATACAGCACCTCAGACTGGGGAAGTCTCTTGGATGAGAGACGAAACGTTTCTACATTTTTTTTGCTTTTTTTTTTTTTTTTTTGAATGTCCAGAGGACCAGATTGAACTTTTTTGGATTTTTCTACCTGGATTATTGAGCATGCATCAGGATATTACTCATTACCATCACCTAAATAGATTAATTACTATTACTATCACCTAAATACATTAATTACTGGTTATTAAAAAGTGATAAATATTAAAAATTATTATGAAAATGTTTTGTATTTGTTGCGTTAGGAATAAAAACAGCACATGATGTGACTGGTTCTCTTTGTCTTGGCTGGATGAAGTATATCATCATGTCTGAAGAACTCTCTGATGAATAAAAGTCACATCAGAGCTGAGTCCAGAATTTTTCCAGTTAAACAGCTTCGTCGCTTCAGGAAATACACCAGACAGTGTTCAAGACAAAACAGCCCATGTGTCTTTCCTGCTTGCTCTCAACTAAGGTGGACACTTTCCCTTCCGCTTCTGCTTCGCTTCCGCTCCTGCTTTCCTCCTGCTTTGCTCTTTGTCCTGTGAACCCTATATGAGTCTCTCTTTACATATCTTCTCAATTGTAAATTATGGATTTGGTCAGCTGTTCTCTCAATGCAAATGATAAAATTTTCTCCACGAGAAGACAGAGAGAAGGAGAGCCCTCTTGTCCTGATGGGACACTTGCAGTTGGATACATGATGGATTCCTGGGGGCAGTGGAAGATCATGTGTCTGTCCGTATTGTCTGCTGAGGATGTAGAAGATGAGTACATAATTGAATTTATGATAACAGGATTTCTGCTTTTTGGAGTTTGCAGTTGCCTGGTATATTGACAAATGTGGAAAACGTCGGCAGCTGCTCTGGCCATTGTAAGGCTCCATGCCTTGTGTGAAGGAAAGTGCCGAGTGATAAGCACTCAGACTCAGATGCTGTGTGAGCTGAGCCGTAAGCTGGATGTGATCTCTATTTCTGAGAATCGCAGGCTACTTGTGGCTCCTGAAACTTGCTGGCAGGAAGGAATTGACCTTGGAGAAGCTACAAGCTCGGCCCGGCGGTGTTAACCACAAAATTTGACTGTTTTGGGTCACCATTGCGACGTACCAGGAGACATATAAGACAGACAGAAATCAAGCAGAGTTGGCCTGACCCAAAATAATTATCTGAATCTGGCTCCCCCATGTCGGCCTTGAATTGGTCATCTATCTCAAACGCTCCTGGATGTTATGTGAACAAGAAGCTCTGCTCCCCCCCACCCCCCGATTCTGATTCTGGTGTTACCTTCGATGAGAGTGTTGAGATCAGACATGTTTGTGATGAGCTGCTCGGCCAAGTTGATGGTCTCCTCTGTCTTTTTGTCCAAACTGTTTCCCAGACTCTTCACCAAGCTCTCCTGAACAACCAAAGGACATCAGCGTTCATTGACAGGCAGTAAGTGTCAACAAAAAACAACTTAAAATCCAAATAGTTTTTAGTGATTCAATGTTTTTAAATCAGTTTGACCTCCCAGAACAGGCTTTTTTCTATGGATCTGGGGAATAGTGATTTTCTTTCATTGACAACCGCTGAAAGGTAAAGGTGGATAATAAGTGTTTTTGCTTGTGTATCTGTGTGTTTGTTAGTTTCCGTTAGCAAAATATCTGATAAACTATGTAACAAATTTGATTAAAACTTACAGAAAATAATTAAATTTATATCTAGAACTGATTGACTTTTGGAGTCAACTGATTCACATTCCTTCCCATGGGCTCACCACCTGTGGGAGGGGCCGAAGGGGTTGGGTGCAATGTGGGATGGGTGGTGGCCGAGGGCGGGGACCCTGGCAGTCTGATCCTCGGCTACAGAAGCTGGCTATTGGGATGTGGAATGTCATCTCACTAGTGGCGAAGAAGCCTGAGCTGGTGTGTGAGGTTGACAGGTTCTGGCTAGAAATAGACGGACTCACCTCTACGCATGGCTCTGGCTCTGGAACCAGTTTCCTTGAGGGGTTGGGCACTCTTCCACTCTGGAGTTGCCCCTGGTGGGAGGCGCCGAGCAAGAGTGGGCATACTTATTGCCCCCCATCTTGGTGCCTGTGTGTTGGGGTTCACCCCAGTGAATGAGAGGGTAGCCTCCCTCCACATACGTGTGGGGGGAGGGTTCTGACTGTCGTTTGTGCTTATGCACCAAATGGCGGTTCAGATTATCCACCCTTTTTGGAGTCCTTGGAGGGGGTAAGTGCACCTCTTGGGGGCACCCTTGTTCTACTGGGGGACTTCAACGCTCATGTGGGCAATGACAGTGAGACCTGGAGGGGTGTGGTTGAGAAGAATGGCCCCCCTGATCTGAACCCGAGTGGTGTTCTGTTGTTGGACTTCTGTGCTCGTCATGGATTGTCCATAACAACCAGCATGTTCATTCATAAGGGTGTCCATATGTGCTCTTGGCACCAGGACACCTTGGGCCGCAGTTCGATGATTGACTTTGTTGTCGTCTCATCTGATCTGCGGCCGCATGTCTTGGACACTCGGGTGACGAGAGTGGTGGAGCTGTCCACTGGCCACTACCTGGTGGTGAGTTGGCTCTGATGCTGGGGGAGGATGCCAGTCAGACCTGGCAGACCCACACGTTGTGTGAGGGTCTGCTGGGAACATCTGGCAGAGTCTCCTGTGAGACGGAGCTTAACTCCCAGCTCTGGGAGAAGTTTGAATATGTTCAGGGGGAGGTAGGGGACATTGAGTCAGAGTTGGCCATGTTCCATGCCTCTACTGTCGAGGTAGCTTACCAGAGCTGCGGCCACAAGGTTATTGGTGACTGTCGCGGCAGCAACCCTCAAACCCGGTGGTGGACACCGGCGGTGAGGGATGCTGTCAGGCTGAAGAAAGAGTCCTATTGAGCCTTTTTGGCCTGTGGGACCCCAGAAGCAGCTGATGGGTACTGGCAGTCCAAGCGACATGTGACTCGGGTGGTCGCTGAAGCAAAACCTTGGGCATGGGAGGAGTTCGGAAAGGCCATGGAGAATGACTTCTCCACGGCTTCGAGGCGATTCTGGTCCACCATCTGGCATCTCAGTGGAGGAAAGCAGTACACCACCAACACTGTTTAAAGTGGGGGTGGTGTGCTGCTGACCTCAACTCGGGATGTCATTGGTCAGTGGGCGGAATACTTTGAAGATCTCCTCAATCCCACCGGCACATCTTCCACTGAGGAAGCGGAGCCTGGGGACTCTGGGTCGGACCCTCCAATCTCTGGTGCTGAGGTCACTGAGGTGGTTAAAAAGCTCCTCGGTGGCAGGGCCCCAGGGGTGGATGAGATTCACCTGGAGTTCCTTAAGGCTATGGATGTTGTGGGGTTGTGTTGGCTTTCGTGACTCTGCAATATTGCGTGGGCATCGGGGGAAGTTCCCTTGGCTTGGCAGACTAGGGTGGTGTTTCCCCTATTCAAAAAGGGGGACCGTAGAGTGTGTTCCAACTACAGGGGGATCACGCTCTTAAGCCTCCCTGGTAAGGTGTTTTCGGGGGTTCTGGAGAGGAGGGTCCGTCGGATACTCGAACCTCGGATTCAGGAGGAGCAGTGCAGTTTTTGTCCTGGTTGTAGAAAACTGGACCAGCTCTATACTCTCAGCAGGGTGCTGGAGGGTGCGTGGGATTTTGCCCAACAAGTCTACATGTGCTTTGTGGACTTGTAGAAGACGTTCAACTGCATCCCTCGGGGAACCCTGTGGGGGGGTACTATGGGAGTATGGGTACCAGGCCCTTTGATACAGGCTATTAGGTCCCTGTATGAGTGGTGTCAAAGCCTGGTCCGTATTGCCGGCAGTAAGTCAGGCTTGTTCCCAATGAGAGTTGGACTCCGCCAAGGTTGCACTTTGTCACCGATTCTGTTCATAACTTTTATGGACAGAATTTCTAGGTGCAGCCAATGTATTGAGGGGATCTGTTTTGGTGGCCTTAGGATCGCATCTCTGCTTTGTGCAAATGATGTGGTCCTATTGGCTTCATCAGATCGTGATCTAAAGCTTTCGCTGGAGCGGTTCGCAGCAGAGTGCGACACAGCCGGGATGAAGATCAGTTCCTCCAAATCCGAGGCCATGGTCTTGAGACGGAAAAGGGTTGACTACCCTCTCAGGGTCAGGGAGGAGGCCCTGCCCCTCATCTATGGTCATGAGCTTTGGGTTGTGACCGAAAGAACGAGATCTCAGATACAAGAGGCCGAAATTAGTTTTCTCCGCAGGGTGTCTGGGCTCTCCCTTAGAGATAGGGTGAACAGCTAAATCATCTGGGAGGGACTTAGAGTAGAGCCACTGCTTCTCCACGTCAAGAGGAGCCAGTTGAGGTGGCTTGGGCATCTGGTTAGGATGCCTCCTGGACACCTCCCTGGTGAGGTGTTCCGGACACGTCCCACCGGGAGGAGACCCAGAGGAAGACCCAGGACACGCTGGAGGGACTATGTTTCTTGGCTGGCCTGGGAACGCCTCGGGATTCCCCCGGAGGAGCTGGCCCAAGTGGCTGGGGAGAGGGAAGTCAGGGCCACCGTACTTAAGTTGCTACCCCCCGCGACCCGACCCCGGATAAGCGGAAGAGAATGGATGGATGGATAGATGGATGGATGGATGATTCACATCACAGCCAACTACCTTTAAAAAACACAAACATAATAATAATAATAATAATAATAATAAACTTTATTTCTATAGCACCTTCCAACAATGCCTTGCATTGACCAAGGTGCTTTACAAGATAAAAATAAAAACAGAACACAATAAATCAGTGCGAATTAAAAACACAGCCAGAATAAAAGAAGGTAAGAGATAAAAAATGCTAAATACTAAAATACGAATTACTAAAAGTTAAGCATTAAAAGTCCTTTTAAGTAAGTAGGTTTTCAATTTGGCTTTGAACAGAACCAGATCAGAGATGGCACACAGCTCATGGGGAAGAGTATTCCAGGCTGTTGTACTAACAATGTTCTGCTTGATAGTCTATTTTGTTAACAAAGTAATCAAGAATACCATCGCAGGTAGACTGTGTAGCAGTTTTCAGAACATTGATGGAGGGATTAATGACAGACTGAACAGTATTAAATAAAACCCTCAGCTGGTTACAACTGGTAGCAATAAAATTGGAAAGATACAGTGATTTGGCCTGCTTAACAGCATTTTGATATTCACAAAGACAGTCTCTCAGTATGCCCTGGGACACATGAAGCCTGTCTTTCTTCCATCTGCATTCTGTTTTCCTGCAGCGTTGTCTAAAGGTCTGAGAGGTACCATTAAGCCAGGGATCTGGCTTGATTTTTGTAGAAGTCTGTCTTAGAGGAGCAATGGAGTCCAAGATCTTTGTCCAAGTGTACCGAAAGGAGGTGATAAATTCTTCTGGATGTAGAGATGAGTCCAGACTTTCAGCGGAGTATAAGTCAGTGCTTCTAAATGCAGCAGCGAACTGACCTGGAGTGGAGGGAATGATGAAGCGGCAGAAACGTGCTGGAAGCATAGTCTTTACCGGGAGAGGAGTGGAATATTCAAATATAATAGGAAAGTGGTCTGAAATACAAGTGTCCAAAATATCTAAAACAGATGCATGAAGGCCATGAGAGATGATTAAGTCCAATGTATGACCATGGCTGTGTGTGGATCCTGACACAGATTGTAACAGGTTTAAAAAAATCCAGAAGGCTTTGAAACTCATTAGCAAGTTGGTTACAGGGACAGCAAACATGAACATTAAAGTCACCACATAAAAGCAAACCATCAAATTTGGGCAACAGTTCAGCTAACAGTTCTGAGAACTCATTAATGAAACCCTTATTATATTTGGCGGGTGATATAAAACACCACACAGCAGGGGGTGTGCAGATTCCATCACAAACAGTTGAAGCTCAAAGCTGCTGTAGTTTTTAGGAAGCAGCGAGGGGCATGTGAGTTTATCACTGAACACAGCAGCAAGACTGCCCCTATGGCCAGACACACGCGGTGCACTCAAGTAGGAGTAGCCAGGTGGGAGGAGCTCGGAAAAGGCGCTGTTGTCCACTGGTTTCAGCCAGGTCTCAGTCGTCAGAAATAAATCCAAATGATGAGTAGAGATCAGATCGCTTAGCATAAAGGTTTTATTTGAGAGCGATTGGGCATTAAACAGGGCTGCACGTGCTGGTACACAGCCGATTGGATCAGCAGCAGCTCGGGCAAGCGGGCCATGGTCATAATCCTGTTAATTTGTCATATAGTAACCTAAGAATGTGTGTGGTAGTAGCTGAGACTGATCCCTAACACGAGTTATGAGATCTAACTGACACAAACTCTTAGTTTAAGATTTTGCCATTAATTTTACTGTATCTACAACTGAACAACTTCTGAGGCCAAGTCAAAATCAAGATGGCTGCCAAAGCCAACTGACATCTTAAAACACAGAAATGACTGAAAATCAAACAATTTTACAGATACTGGGCTTAATAAATAAATAAATAAACTGAATGAACAGTAAATTCAATAAACAAAATGTTGGAGTCAACACGGTTTGACTGTTAACAATATCTCATAAACCATTGGACAAAATTTAATGAAACTTTCTGGAAAAACTCATGGGATTTATATCTACAACAGATTAATTTCTGGAGCTAGTGTCATTCAATACGAGCCCCACAGCTAATTCACTTTGGGCAACAATGGCTATAACTCAATCAGTTTTACAAATATTGAGCTAAAATTTGCTGTGGTGGTAGCTGAGAGTCATTCACTGCACAAACTGAGTGTGAAGTCTCGAGGTATGGCAGGCATTGGATGATATTTTCACAGTTTGAGCAAAATTACTGCAGTTCTTTTATTTATCAATTAAGGACAATCTCAGTGTAAACTTCTGAAATATGTGACAGACAGCGGGTGATATTCATCCCTTCAATGATGCTGGGACTTTATTTATTCAATGTGTTGATTCAGCAACATTAAGAAACAAGTCCTAAAACAGGAACAATGACAAAAAGGAGTCCAACTGTCTCATATGGAAACAAACAATATGCCGATGTCCCCCATCGCTGACAGAGTTTAATAGTGAATGTTTTTTGAGATGAGTGTTTTTCTGGACTGGAACTGAGCAGAGAATGGAAGTAAACCTAAATGTTCTTGGTGCAAGATATTCAACTGGGTAGATGTTACAATGAGTCGAAGGACAGAGGGAGTTTTTTTTTTTGTTTGTTTCGCTTGTCAGGAGCACCAAAGTGGCTGATCCTAGCAAGAGGAGGGATCAATTTTATCCACCACCAGGTGCAATGGTGCAGCCAGGGGGTGGCCAATGGTGGCCTTTATCACCATAGGTTAATTTTTGTCCATCCCAATCATTTAAGGAAATTATACTTGTAAGCAATATAAAAACTAGAAAGTATAATTTCCTCTAATGATTGGGGTGGCCGATTTATATACATATATGGCAGCGGATTTGTTGGATATTAATGTGGCAACACAATTTTTAATAGAAACTCTTTTCTGTCTTGATGTAGCCACAAACCAAAACGTAAGTTGGCACCTCACATGTTTTTCAAGTTATCATGCTCACAACATGCATGCGTGGACGGAAAAATGGCTGGATGGACGGTGCTTTCAATTGCCCTTATTCACTCCTTGACGGGAGAGAACCATCAAAAAAGAAATTCAGTTGTTTATTTTTGAGGATTTATGTTTGATTCAATTTTGTGAATAAATGAAATCCACATCCTAAGAAATTAAAGCAGGAACAGAACTGTGTGGTATATTTAAAGACATGAATAACTAAAGAGAACATGGACTGAAAGTAAAAGAAGATGATTTTGCTGACCGACTCTGTGAGCTCTTTGATGTCCGTCCCCACCGTGTCCGCGGCCCCCTCCAGCTCGGCCGTCTGAGTCTTCATCACAGATGACTTGTTTTGCCAGCTTTGAAACTGCCTCTGAAAGGAAAGCAGTTAAGCTTCTTTACTTCGACATATTCCACCAAGTTGAAAACTGAAAAAGAAAATTATTGTAGTGGAAAAAGTCTTAATGCAAAATTAAGACATAATCCCCTTGAAACAGACAAGGGGTAAACCATGTTTGCTGAATTCCAGGGGTTTATTACCTCAAGATTGAGTAAAAGGTTTATTTATGGCAAATATACTCTATAGTGATTACGATCTAGGACTGATTTAGTGACGTTTTCTTCCAATTAAAGCTTCACAGCTCAGGATCCTCTTAATGCTCAACAGGTAAAGAAACCAGAATCAGCCTGTGTTCATCATGACTGGCAGATTAAATACTCAGAAATGTGGTTTGTTTTTTTCATAAAATCTGAGAATTTCTAACTGCTATAAATATTTTTATGTCATTATTTGTTATGTTTTGTTTACATATTTGGTTTACATTATTTATATTTATGAAGATTCATTTGTTTTGTAAGTTACACCATGTAGGAACCATTTTTCAGTGCTATGTTGCACTAAGACCATTTTAAGTTGTTGCAACCCTCCTCCAAGAAAGCATGTGCAGGAGAAAAAGTATTATGCTCTGCCTAAAGGTTCAAGAAGTTACATTTCCCATTTTCTTTAGATTTACTTTTGTTCCAGTAGACTCATTCCATCTTTGGTCGTGTGCAGCCAGCGAGGTGTTTACTTGTGTTCTGTTTCATTGTGCAGATTTGTAGTAAATTTGTGTGCAACATGAATATATTCTATATAAATAATCTTTTAAACCCTTTTCAGTCAGGTTTTAGGAAGCAGCATAGCACTGCAACTGCTGCTCTAAAAGTTTTAAATTATGTGTTTGAGGCACTGGATTCTAAAAAGGTTTGCTGTGCTCTGTTTATTGATTTATCCAAGGCATTTGATACGGTGGATCACACTATCCTGGTAAAAATTATTCTCAAACTGGGCATCTCCAAAGAAGCATCTTACTGGTTTGGAGATTATTTGGCAAATAGGACACAGTGTGTACAGATGGCTGGAGTAAGCTCAAGTTTTTTTAAAGTAATAAAGGGCGTACCCCAGGGCTCTGTCTTGGGGCCCATCTTATTTACAATTTACACTACTGCACTGTGTGAAAATTTGCAAAATGCCTCCTACCACTTTTATGCTGATGATTGTGTAATTTACTTTTGTTCAAATTCAATTGATCAGGCACTTAAATTCTTACAGGCTGCTTTTGATGAGGTGCAGATTCGTCTTGAGCAACTAAAATTGGTCTTAAATGGTGATAAATCTAAAATAATTGTTTTGTTTTTTTCAAATGTATCTGTCACATTGGAGAATATCCCTCTAATAAAAACTTCCCAAGGTAAAGTTCTCGAGAGGGTCTCCTGTTATAAATACCTGGGCTTGATTATCGACGAGGAGCTTTCTTTTAAATCTCTTGTGAAACACCTAATCTCCAAATTAAGGGTGAAGCTCGGGTTCTTCTTTAGAAACAAATCGTGTTTCTCCCTTAGAGCAAGGAAGCTTTTGATCACGGCTACTTTTTTGCCAGTACTTGACTATGGCGATGTTGTTTATATGTGTGCTTCAAAAACTGTTGTCTACAGTGTACAACTGTGCATTAAGATTTATTACTGGTTGTAGATACCTTACTCATCACTGTGATCTCTATCTTAAAACCAATATGTCTTCCCTGTTTAGCAGGCGACATGTGCATTGGATGACTTTGGTTTATAAGTCTTTTATTGGCATGCTTCCACATTATTTATGTACTTTTATTCGAAAAATGGACAGTAGTTATGCCTTACGCTCTAAGGACTGTTTGCATCTTCATGTTCCTCGTGTGCGAACAGAAAAGGGAAAGAAAGCTTTTAGCTTTTCTGCCCCCTCAGCTTGGAATGCCATGCAAACTGAATTAAAACTAACAGAACTTGTTACTTTGAGTGCTTTTTGCAAACTTTAAAAAAACCGACAAAGGATATCTTGTCAAGAGTGCCTGTGTTTTAGATCTTAAATTGTTATTGTTTTAAATAATTATTTCCATTTACTGTTATACTGTATGTTTATATTTTTATATATTTCTGAAGTCTTCATAATCTTGCTACTTGTTTTGTTTTTATGACGTGTGCTGCAGTTGCCTGTTCTTGGCCAGGTCACCCTTGTGAAAGAGGTCTTGATCTCAATGGTTTTTTATCTGGTTAAATAAAGGTTTAATAAAAAAAAATATATATATTTTGTACATTGTTATGTATTTTGAGCAGTTCCACGGTGGATTTGATGACCGCGCAGTGACTTAGGCGCCTTTCAGATTAATAAAGCCGTCAGTAACAGAAGAACTACGGTGTTGTCTATTTCCTGGAGGAAGTGATAAAATTTTTAAAAATTACGACCGTGTAACTTGCTCTAATTTTTTGCTTAAAATTTTGGGTGTGGATGTTTTTTTTGTTTTTTTTCCTGTCCTGTCCGGCATTGTGACACTTAGAATTATTGTCTGAGTGTCAAAGTGATGCCCAACAGATTTACTTTCACAAGCAGAGCATTATGGCTGGCCTTAGTGCTCCACTTGATATATAAATTAAATTTTATTAGAATATGCTTTGGGTTTGTTTCAGATGTAATGGACATGGGGACGGAAAACAAAGAAGATAAAGCAGAAAAGTGAGAGAAGAGTTCAAATGTAAAGAAGGAGATAGGAATAGAGGAGAGAGAGAGGGATAAAGAGAACACAAATCAACATCATTGAAGTCTGCCTCTAGACCTGCGGAAAGAGAGAGAAAAAAACCCGACAAAACCAAGAAACCACAACAATAAACAACTTATATAATGATAGTTATAACATAACTAGAAAGTATTTTATACATTACATGGTAATACAATATATATTTGATGGCCACCACAACCCAACTGAGTGTGTATCTGATAAACACCTGAATCTAAACACCTGTGTGAGCATGCTTATCACTATAAGGTTTCTCATAAAAATGTTCAATAGTGGATGTGGGGACCCATAAACCCGTCCCCGTAGGACACAAAGGCAACGCAGGGAAGCCCGGAACCACAGACACACAGCGGCCCCCAAGCCCGGAACTCCAGTAGTCCCCCAACAGGGACACCCGCACCCCCCAGAGAGAGAAGCAAAGGGAAGCCCCGGGCAATCCCCAGCAACCACAATGCAGAAACCCCCAGGAGGCCGTAGCGACGAGTCAACAGGCCCCGCCGGCAACCTGCCCCTCCAGAGTGGATCTGGCCATGGACACCAAGCCCCGAGTCCCGAGGTCATACCACCCCCCAACAGAGGCCCGACAGAGCCAGCGCACCCAGGCCCCCACAGGCAGCCACCAGGGCGGGCCTGCACACACCCCACCACCCAGTCCCAGCTGCTGAGAGCTGCCAATGCACCGGCGGCAGGGGGACCCACCACCGGGGTGGAGCACGACCCACTAAATGGGGGGCCAAAACTGGTCCAAGAGAGGGGGGCCACCCAAAACCCAACCTGAGACAAACAGGCACACAGAGACAGCCTGACAGAGCCTCTGTCGGGCTGTCCATGCGCCCCACCTGCCCAACAGTGACTGCAAGCCAGCCCCAGGCCAGGGGCCAGAGCAGCAGGGAGCAGCAGCCGAGGAAGACCGGCCCAACGCACTAATGCATCCCTAAAGCCCCACATCACAGGCCTGGCGAAGCCCCGGCATGCCACCCATGCACCACCCCCCCCCCCCACACACACACACACACAGCACCCCGCACCGTGAATGTCACATCATGGCGACCAGCCAGCACTTCGTCGAAGTGAAGCCATGCCCCCGACCACCGCCATGCACTACCAACGACCACACACACACAACCACAGCTGACCTCCCGCCAGAACCCGGCAGTCACCCCAGCCAAAGGGCTGGCCATCAGAACCAGGAACCCTGATAAAAGGATCCAAACAATCCAGGGAGAACCGAAGCACCAGCCCCACCCCCAATCGCCCCCAAAGGCCCAATACCCACCCACAGCCCAGACCCCAACCAGGCAGCCTACACCCCGCCCCCGACCCCAAATATCAGACAGAGTATGAGGGTTTAAGAAAAGCTGTAAGACCAAACTCCTCCCTCCCCCCACTCAAATAAGATGTTGATGCATGTTGTTATATAGTGCGTTTAAAATGGGGGGGGATGAGGTGGCGACTGAAAACGACCCACCCCCTCCCCAGAGAGCAGGCAGTGCCCGTTCACCCCCCCAACCCTTGCCCAGAACCCTAAATGTCTACTGGCTACATTTGAGAGTGGGCACAGGTCCCAGAGGTGAGAATGATTACACATCCCACCCCCTATATGCCACCATGTGCCCACTCCAGACCCTATATATGCATGTGTCATGAGAATGTTATATACGAGTGTCTAGGTTGTTTGATAAAATTGGGGCCCAGGTCTCCATGAACCACGGAGATGGAGGATCCTCCCCGCAGCTCAGTAGTGCACCTGAGCCCCAAGGCCCTGCTTGAGTGGTGGTGTGATGGAGTGGGTGGAGGAATACGTCGGGATGGGGAGGAACAACTGAGGTGGCAATGCCCTCCCAGGGGGCCAGCTCCCCCACTGACCCCAATAGGCACCCCCATTCTCCGAGATCCACCAGGGGAGGGAGGCTCCAGTGCATTCATCCAGGAGCAGGAGGCAGCCGCACCACCAGGGACCCAGGCCACGGACCGGCACATAGCCCCGAGGACCGACCAGAACCCAGGCCAGTGACCCAAGCCCCCCGAGATCATCCAGACCCCCAACTTGATCCCCAGCTCAACACCCAGCCCCCCAACCAAAGAAGCCACCAAACTCCAGCAGCGACAATCAGCCAGGAGTGCCTGAACAGCCGCAGACAGCGCACCACGATGATCAAGAGCGCACCCCCACAAAAGGACCGACCAGTCCACCACAGCAACACCCACAATGAGAGCACCCCATGCAAGGGAGGGCACATGCCTAACATGCCCAGACACCCCCGGGCCAGCAGTGCAGAGCCACCTG